TCCCACAGCAAAGAAAAAAGAAGCAAGGCTTAGAAAGCTAAGGACTTGATAACTGCTGTAACCATCTATCTGAGAGTAATGAATGCCTCTTAGCTACTATTATTCCATATTTTGCAAAAGACACTCTTCAGAATTTCAACAATATAATTCACCAGTCACCGTTCAGTGGGATTAAATATATATAGGCCAGTTAGGCCTTCCCTCTAGACACTTTATATATTGTAAATGACTCAATTATGTATTCATGTTGATTAAGACCCTACCTGGTACACTTTGGCTCTCCCAATGACCATGTAAATACCCTTATGTCCATGACAGTCATGCTTGGTTTTATGTGTTTGCTGACATAAAAAAATGTAGAAAATTTCCATTCACATTTCATTACTTCATCAAGAAATTCACCTGCTCTTCCACATGGGCTTGGCCTAAACATGCATTAATAGTACTAAAAAGAAAATAGAGACAGTCAGCTCTCTGACCTCTTCATCATGAATGACCTTTCCTTCTACTCTTCCTTGGTTGTCCCACACAGTTACACTATGAACTATGCCACTGTCAGCTCTCCTTCTCAAATTCCAGTTCTAAATTTGCCAAACAGCAGCCAAGATCTCACATTCATCCATAAGATTTTCTCAAGAATCCCTAAAGCTAAACTTTCTCAACCCAAAACACTTTCACTCTCCATTAGCTAATTATGCATTAGTTTTCCTTTTGTTCTCTTTCATTCTTAATGCTATGGCCCATCATAATCACTCCCTTGCTAATATGCTGATCTCTCTGGCTGTTCTTTGGCACCTTTGTCTAGGAGAACCCAGTCTTCTATGAATCCTACTCTATAGCTTCTCAGTCCCTTTGCCTGAGAAGCTGAATATTGTCAGAGAAAGCTGGCAGCTAAACTCACGGATTCAATAACATTTCTTGAATATCTACTATTTATCAGGCTCCATTCAAGCAATCTGAAGACAGTGGCAAAGAATACAAATGAGAGCTGCTCTCTGGAGTCTGTATTCTAAGGGGTAGGCCTCACTTGAAATTTAATTTTCTATTTATTTTTTGTTAAATTCTTTTATTGGTACATTGTAGGTATACAACACAATTACATTTCTCATTGGGAATTGTACCTTTACATAATGCATCTTGG